GGCGTGATTTAAGGTTCTGTTAGCCCTGACGCACTGTTAAAGGCCCATCCCCGTACAGCGCTCTGGTTCTCACGGTGCACACGGCAACACGCAGGGAACTCACAGAGCGCCAGGAATATTTGAAAATTTCTGGGGCAACAGTAACCCTGGATGCCTCGGAATTACTAGCTCAAGGTTATTCACAGTTTCAACAGCAGGTGGCGCTACATCCCTTTAATGATGTCATGCTTATGCCGCTTGGTTTCCAACGTACTTGACAAGAAAAGCAATACAGTGGGGAAAAAAAAAATGAAGTGGAAAAGGAAATGATGGGGTGTTGTCCAATTTGAGAAGTTGTGCTGTGTCCGGTAGGAGCACACATTCCATTAGGAAGTAACCATGGTTACTTAAGACAGCAAGAAAATTTTTTTCTTCTCTCGTTCCGCATCTTTTTTTGTCAGTTCTTTATTCGTTAGAGCATACGAACTTAGGTTGTTTGGACTGGAGGAAAGTAGAGAATGAACAGAATTAATGTCCAAAATTAATAGGTATTTCTTTTGACCTAATGATACTGGGGGGGGGGCAATCTTGAGACATTAGGACCTCCTGAATTGAGAGCTTTTGAACGCTGTTGTAGTTAAATCTTTTGTTGTTGTTGTTGTTGTTTTTCTTCAAGTTTTTGACCTCGTGTAACATAATCTCATTAGATATCTGTTTGGTTCCAAACCTACAAAATGTAGACCAGTTTCTTGCCACAGGAGGGGCTAGTACTTTTAAAAATTTATTTCTATTTTTTGATCTATTCCTAATTGAGTTTAAAAGACACACACACACCCACACACCCTTATAATCTAATCCTACACACATACACACACCCTTGTAGTCCAATCCTACACACACACCCACACACTTTTATCATCTAATCCTACACACCCACACCCACATAGCTTTATTGTCTAATCCTACACACGCGCACGCGCACACACACACACACACACACACCCTTGTAGTCTAATCCTTCAGAGACGAGCTGGGAAGACCATGCACATATCCAGTTCTGGCAGCAATGGCAACTTCAACTATTGCCTTTGACCTTTTCTCCATCTGGTAGTCTCCTACGTGTTATAACTTCAAGGAGGCTGATGGTGAGGTAGGAAAATCCTTCAAGCTCCCATTAAATGTCAAAATCCGGGCCCTCCCTGGTGGCACAGCAGGTTAAAGCGCAGCACTAAGAAACTAAAAGCCACTTCAGCATGAGTTGGATCCCTGCCCCGGAGGTGATCACATGGCAAGCAGACCTCTCCTGATCCTCCCACCTCTCCCCTCAGCAGTGAACTTCTTTAGTCAGCCTGCTCTGTCCCCCAGTCTGTCTCTTGTGAATTCTCTCACTGCCCCTACACCTCTGGCCTGTACCCCAGATCTGTATGCATAAATACATAAATGTTTTTTTTTTAAAAAAGTCAAAATCCGCTAATCAAGTTGAAGCAGTGATTGTAATGGGATTTTCCACCCACCCATCTGTTAATTATCTTTTTTTTACTTTTCCATGGATATCAAAATCGATAGTCCAGCCCAGTGCATTATGGGCTGATTTAACAGAGGATATACAATGGGTTTCACCAACAGTGATAAAAGCTTTGTGCACCCAGTGTGTGCGGGCCACGTGTGTCTGGCACACTCCGCTCACTCCACAGGTCGGTAGGTGGTGTCACATGCGTTTTGTCCAGGAAGGAAGGAGGGCCTGGAGAGGCCGCTGAAGTGCCCTGGGCCACAGCACGGGGTAGGCAGTGCAGCCCTGCAGCCCTGGGTGAGCCGAGTCTACGGCTTGGCGGTATCACCTCCCACAGTTACAATTATAAAACTATTTCCATGCCATTATATCCACTGCTACTCCTAGGGACCCAAAATAGACTGGCTGTTCTTTTAAAATACAGTTTTTTTTTTATGCAAAATGGCATTGGATTTGAGAAGAAAGGCTGGAATGTAAAAGGGGTGAGAGAATTAAACGTTTAGACAGAGCACTTTTAAAAACTTTATCTCTTGGCCCTCCCTGGTGGCGCAGCGGGTTAGAGCACAGCACTAAGAAGCTGAGGCCACTTCCGCATGGGTTCGATCCCCGTCTGCCCTGGGGGTGACCACATGGCGCGGCAGACCTCTCCTGACCCGCCCGCTGCTCCCCTCAGCAGTGTACTTCGTCGATCTGTCTGTTCTGCTCCCGGCTCTGTCTCTGGTGAAGCCTCTCGCCGCCCCTGAGCCTCTGGCCTGTACCCCAGTTCTGTATGCGCAAATAAATAAATCTTTAAAAAAAAAACAACCTTTATCTCTTATGACAATAATGTTATTTGTATTATAGAAAATGCTTTTAGGAGAAGGTTATTATTATTCTTTTAAACACCCCTTCTGCTATGAATGTTGTGCTATCACAGGTTCAAAGGAAACAGAGGGAGTACAAGCTAGTGAACTGTCTTGTTCAGCAGTCACACGATGTGTGAATTCACAAGGCTGGCCTCGGGTATCTGTATTGATGTTCACCTGCCTCTCCTACTTATTCCATATTAATAATTCACTTCACTGGAACAATGCCTGGTTACCTCAACCCAAGCCGTGGTGTCTTCCCTTCACTTTCAGTGGTAAATACTTAAAGAGAATATTGCACATACATATTCAGGACTATTTGACCAAAGATCAAAGTAAGGACGAGAAACCCTCGGAATCTGTAAAACGATGCTACTTGCGTGATGCTCTCATTAGAGATATTTTAAAACCATAGCTGTGATCATAAATGGAGACATTTATCATCTCTTATAGCAAGTCATCCCCAGCTGCTGTAAAGGATGTGTGACACATTTTTCTTATCAATAGCATATTATGAAACACAGAATTTACAAAGAACAAACCTGTATCCCTGTTTGTTTTTTAAAATATCTTTGTAGCATGTGGATATTCCACAGTAAGAACGGAACTGATGATAGCTTTTCACGGAAACTCACAATGATGGGAAAACCAAGCTGTTCCCCAACTCAGCTCCCATAATCTGGAAGGGCTGTGGAAGCAGGGATGGTCTCCAGTTGGGTGATATCTGGAACCAGCACCATCCCATAACCAGTTTCTCTCTTGTGTGAATCTTGCCACAATTAAATCACCAGCACTTATTTGAAACAAAGTGAGATCCTGGCAGCAGTGACCCCCAAACCTGAGGCAGAGGTGGCTGTCGGGACAGAGGGCTCGCTATGGCATGGTCGTTCCAGAAAAAGGAAATAGTTAATTTGAAACTGGCCAAAGCACTGAAGCTCAGGATATTTGCTTTCAGGACGAGAAGAAAAGAACTTTCCTTTCCTTACAGCTTAATCGCTCTATTCCTATTTTTAATACATCCTCCTTTATAGGATAGCTGGACCACATTTTTCCAGCTAAAGTAAAAATTAAAGGATTTATGATAATCCTGTGCGGATGGTTGTGGGCGTTTCATTTTCAACTGGAGCATTTTCTCGCGCTTTGTTGCAGAGCTAACGTTTTTCAGCTTCTGGCTACAGTCTTCTCCCCGAAACTACTCAAGTGGAAAAAAAAAAGTCATACCAGATAAGCAACAATTCTTACTGTACTGGGGAATAGTTCACATCCTCCTGCCTATTTATCAGAAGTTACTTTACAGCTTTTCAAACCAGAGTGTCAGAGTGCCTGGTGGAATCCTACCTTGCCCACATACTGATAATCGGATCCTGTGTACTCCTCCAGGAGAAAGAACTGATTCCACATCCAGCTCCTTTTTGAACGATTCAGCTCATTTTTGCTGTTTCCAGAGAGCTCCAAGGCCCTTTTCTTTGCTGGGAAACCACTAGTCCTCTTAGATAATGGACTTGAGAGAGTCGGATAGGGTTGGCCAACCCAAAAGAGTAGCAAGAAGTACCGGTAAGTTCTCATTCTGATGACACAGTCCAGTCTCTGGGCAGTGAGCGTCCTCTCCCTCCTTCACTGCACAATATCCAGCCTCATTGCTTCCTCAGTGCTCTTTGCTGGGTTCTCAGAGGCTACCTGGAAAGAATAACATATCAGGCATTTTTAGAGATGCTAAAAATTCCGTGTTAGAGCAAATAAAAGAGGACAGAATTTTGAATAGCAAAACAAAATAAGTTGGCTGTCAATTTGGCAATGAGGAATACGGTTTCTTAGATGGGCTAAATGAAGGCGTGTGCTCAGTAGGAAACTGCTTTTTCTTTCTCCTTTTCTATCACTGAACATCCGACGTTAAGTCCTAGCATTGCTCGAGGTCAGCATGCCAGAGTGGATTATTTCACCGTTTTATCTCTGAGTACTTAGTGGGCTGAGATCTAGTTAGAAGAAACAAGTTTGTGTTTTTGATTCTATTTGCATAATTGTCCTCATGAACAAGTCTGAGGCAAAGAACGGCACAATTTCAGTTCAGGTGAACATGGATAAGTTGGACATTTCATTAAGCGTGAGGCACCCTTGCGATGTGCCAGTTGGAGCACACCCTTTTCTTTAGACTCTTGGCTCAGGACATGTGCTGTGACGGACGAGTCTGGGTCAAATACGGCTGGAGAAGTCTGCACACTTTTCTTGGGAGTGCATATTAGCATATTTGAATTTTTGAATTTGTAAGCATGATAAGAACACTACGTTTAACCTAGTATTTTCCAGATTTGGTCAGGAAATATTTTTCCCCCTCTCATGATAACACTTTTGGGCAGGTCAGTTAAGAAGCTCTGGAATTTATAATTAATAGAATATAAGAATGAACTGAGCCATTCTATACAGATTTCTTTGGAAATCCTGAGTTGTTCTTCTTTTATTTTTTACGATTTATTTATTCATATAGAACTGGGGTACAGGCCAGAGATGCGGAGGGTGAGAGGCTTCACCAGAGACAGAGTGGGGAACAGAACAGGCAGATCAAGGAAGTGCACTGCTGAGGGGAGCAGCGGGTGGGCCAGGAGAGGTCTGCCTCGCCATGTGGATCTCCTCCAGGGCAGGCGGGGATCAAACTCATGCGGAAGTGATTCAAGACTCTTAGTGCTGTGCTTTAACCCGCTGCGCCACCAGGGAGGCCCCCCCTTTTTTAAAGGATTTATTTATTTATGCATACAGGATTGGGGTACAGGCCAGAGGTACAGGGGTGGTGAGAGGATTCACCAGAGATAGTGAGGAGCACAACAGGCCTACTGATGAAGTACACTGCTGAGGGGAGAGGCAGGCGGGTCAGGAGAGGTCTGCCGTGCCATTTGGGTCACCCCAAAGGCAGGCTGGGATTGAACTCGTGCTGAAGTGGCTTTAGTTTCCTAGTGCTGTACTTTAACCCGCTGCACCACCAGGGAGGGCCCGGAAATCCTGAGTTTTTAACCTCTAAAGTTTACATGAATCACGAGCAAGTCAGCCATACTTACTAAAGCCAGATAGTTTCCAGATAATTTTCCCAGGTGGGATAAACCTGTCAATCTCATGGTGAAGGCTGCAGAAACTTCAGAAAAATCAGTAATAATACTTGCGGGTAATGATTTTTGTGACAAATGTTAATTTTCAAGGACATAATCTGGCATTTTAAAACAAAATCTAAAAAATCCCTTGCCCAAATGTTCTCCTTTTGCTGCATCCCTTTTTCTGAACTTGGGGAAGATGTTGCCTGTTTACTTCTCTTGTGCAACTGAAGAAACACTACATGTCCATCCTAAATGCTTCTGCATTTCTTAAAATGAAATCTAACAAATTACTCCTTTATCTTAATCTTTGTTATCAGAACAATATTTTCTTAATAATACTAGCCCCATGCCCCCAAAATGACATGCTTTTAATGTAGAGAACATGATAGTAATTAAACTCGTAGACACACATTTCAGATAATGTGGTCAGAACTTTTTTTCTCTGTGTCTCATTATTCCACCAAGTGAATGTGGTGTCTTCAACCCCAGCATTGCATAATTTTAGCCACCCAACATGTGACTGGTGAGAGTTTTCATTGTCATCTAAGTGAAATATTTCACGGTGTTCAGCATTTTAAAACCTTTATTCCATTATTGTGCATCTTCTTGACAGCCGGCTGGAGAAGTTGAAAATTCCACAGGTGAATAAATTAGTTCTGTGACAATTAGTCATGCTGGAAAAATGCCAGGCAGCAGTATACTTGTCATGGTGTGGCCTTGGTTCAGTATGGAGTGACTGAGGATCGATTAGGTAAAGACGATTCCTCCCTCCTCAGTAGAGTATGTAACAGGGGCTGAGAGAGCATATGGAGAGGATTACACTGAGGTTGATTCTGTGGAAATTGCATTTTTCTTAATTTCCACATTTCCCATTATTTGCATAGACAAATCCTGCAGTGAGGAATTACATGGCTGTTGTTGGACTCAGTGTGTGCCCCATGGTGCTGGCAGGAAGGAGGGGTGCAGAGAATGGAGGTGTCAGCTGTTTAAAAGGCAGACTCCTAAAGGCCTTTGAAAAGAAAAATCGATCCCTGTGGGTGTTGTGTGCAAACTCTACAAGCTGTTGCTACTTGAATATTAAATATTAGTTGTTTTTAATAACAGATACCAAAATGTCAAGTATTTAGGTTTTTTTTTTGCTTAGTTGGTAATGAGTTTTTAAAGTGTTGCAAATGTAAGCAGTGTTTCCAAGTATGCTAAAACATCTAGTTTGTTATAACCAACTCATTTTTATCAACTAGGCAGTGTGTGTCCTTGTTAAAAACTTTATATGCAAAATTACTGTAATTACTATCATCCTCTCATATTTGGTTTTTGCTTTTCTATAGGGATGGATTGCATTGTGAAAATCCAAAGTCAAAAAGAAAAACCCAACAAACCGTTAAGTATGTAACTTAGATATTCTCACTTAGTACTTCTTAATGGACAGGATTGTGTAGTGGGGTTAAGATGATCAGCTCTGGAGTCGGCCTGCATGGGTTTGAATCCAGGCTTTGCCATTAGCTTGTGTGAGCTTGGAAAAATTTAATTTCACTGTGCCTGTGGTTCTTCCATGAATGGGGATAATTATAGTAACTGCTTCATAGGATGTTATAAGGACTAAATAAATCATTGCAAAGCATGTAGAACAGTGTCTGGCCCTTGGCAAGGTATTAATAAGTATTTGAGTATAAACAATTGTTATTACTATTGTTACTCTTACTGTTTTTTTGCATTGTATCTGTAGACTCCATCTGAAGCACACTGCAAAGGCCTCAAATAACCTACTCCCGTCTTAGCGTTATTTATTTATGCATACAGAACTGGGGTATAGGCCAGAAGTGCAGGGACGGTGAGAGAATTCACCAGAGACAGAGTGGGGAGCAGAACAGGCAGATCGATGAGGTACACTGCTGAGGGGAGCAGTGGACGGGTCAGGAGAGGTCTGCCGCGCCATGTGGTCACCTCCGGGGCCTGGGATTGAATTCGCACTGAGGTGGCTGCGGCCAGCTTGCAGTGCTGCATCCTGACCCGTTGTGCCACCAGGGAGGGACCAATTTTTTGTTTAAGAAGCATTTCCAAACAACTTGCGTTCTTTTAAAATTAAAGAATACTAGCATTTAAGAATAATAATTATCTCATTTGCTAATTGTTTTCTATGTGTGGACTTCAATATAGGATTTCATGGGAATAGTGTAAAAACAGGGAAGTCAGTACCTTATGCTTTATCGCCCATGCTCTCATGAAGAAGAATGGGTAAAAGGGAAATTCATTGGAGGAGGGATCATTTGTAGAATCTGTGTATTTTTTCCCTTTCCATTTTGTGATGTGAAAATAAAATCAGGGTAGCTTCAAAATAGTATTTCAGCCATTGTAAAAATGGCAGTAGGTAATCTGTCTTCTTGTAATTAACGTGCTGACATTAATACTAAATAACATGCTGACATATTCTTTGAAGAGGAATTTGATGCAGTTAAAATGAATGATATATAAAATTAGATTTTACTTAACTGAAAAACATGAAAACAAACACACAAATAAACAAACTCACACATTTTAAGCTTAACCACAGATGACAAAAAAACCCAGGATTCTTAGGTGCGGGATGCCCTATGTTAAGCAAATGAAGAAAAGGCTCCAGGGTGGTATGATTGTGAGTAATGTGGGAAAGCTGTGATTTCTGAGCAGTAAAATTATAGAATCACAGCACCACTTAGATGCAAGAGTCAGAGGTGTTGGCTCATTTGTGGATGTCAGGAAGTCAACCGAAAGGACAAGGAAGTCAGGGCATTCTAGTCACTAAATTTTAAAAGAGCAGGCATGTTTATAGTCACTCAGGAAAGAACCAGAAGATTAAATAGTGGAAAGGGGAAAGAGTAGATGAGATACCTTTTGCTCTCAGGGCATTAAGAGCAAATCAGGTAAAAATATCAGAAACTCAATAAAAATAAAACTTGAACTGTCTACGTGTAGTCTAATGACAGTTCAACAGTGGACTTCAAAGATTATTTCATTGAAAACATCTTTATTTTGTACTGAATTTTTTTTTTTTTGGTCTGGATTTCTGGGGGAACTTGCTCCTTCTTATAGGCATTTGATTTATGTCCTGAAATTTGATAGGCAGAAGTGGCTCATTCTGAAAAGTAGTTTGGATTTTCACAGAAGCCTTATTTTAGTGATGTGTAGAAGGTAACTAAGATGTTTATGGATAGCAAAGCAAGGCCCACGTCGCATTCATGATTGCATACTTTGAAATTTTTTTGCCCAGCAGTCAATATGCATATATACTTCAATCTTCACAAGAAAACATTGTCAAGTCCAGCTCTTATTTTATGCATGCCTTTTAGGAGGGGCCTGGGCCTCATTAATTCAAGATCTACCAATTTAGAATATGTGATAATTAATGCAGAAGCTGGGCTGAAGTTTTCCTTTGATTAGCAAAATCTTTTCCTCTAGATTATTGAAAATTAATAATGTAAAAATATTTCATAGACATATATAGAATGAGAGACAAACGACAGTGTCCTCAAGTTCCCAAGGGCATTCTGGAATTACCTTTTATTTGCAAATAATTAATATGCTAATTAGAAAACTTCTCTATTGATTGAATTGCT